TTTTTTTTTTTTTTTTTTTTTTTGAGACAGGCTCTAGAAGCTGCCTCGGCTGGCTTGGAGCTTACCATCCTCCTGCCTCAGCCTCACCTCTACTTGAGGTTTGCCCTGACAGTCTAGCTGTTAGACAGTGGGCAGGAGAAGCGCTGTTTTTAGCCATGGAACTTTCCTTTCTTCTTCATGCTTACAGTCCAATGATGAGGTACAGACCCTATTCCAGTTCTGAAGAAACTGTTCAGGGCGGAAGTCCCTGAGGTCTGTGCCAGCATATGGCCTTCAGCTTCCAGATGGCAACGGTCTGCAGTGTTGGCCCATCCATGTGTCACCAGGGAAAGGAACACAGGTCTGGAAGAAGAGCGGCGCTACCTATGAAGGAGACTGGAAGTTTGGAAAGCGAGATGGCTATGGCACCCTCAGTCACCCTGACCCAGAGACCGGAAAGTACAGAAGGGTGTACTCAGGCTGGTGGAAAGGGGACAAGAAATCGGTGAGTGGGTCCCAGCATGCCTTGTCTATAGGTGAGGCTGAGCACCGAGGTGTGTGTGTGTGTGTGTGTGTAGGGGGAAGGCAGGAGGTGGACCTAGAGCCAGGAGGACCAGTAGTTTGGTGGGTGGGAGACGGAAGGGGTGAGGGAGTTGTAGTGCTTCTCAAAACAAAACCAAGAAAACAGGAAGCAAGAGGAGCAGGGGGAGCCCCAGGGAGGCAGCAGGCAAGGCCTTCTCCACCCTCCTCCCCCTTACTTCCTGGCTTTCTTCTCCATGGTACCCCATTCTGAGCCTCCTCCTTTTGGCTTAAGTCAGATGGAAGGTGAGGAAGCAGGGTGTAATGAGGTCATTCTGGAGGTGGAGGCAGGAGGATAGCATGTTTGAGGCCATCCTGGGCTACACAGAGAGACCATGACTGGAAAGGGGAGAGAGTTCACATCCTTGGCCATAGGGCAAGAGCAGAAGGGGGTAGAAGCTAGCCAGAGGGACGTCCCTGTCCATTCTGCAGACATATTTCCTCATGCTGGCTCTGGAGCCTGATGACAACAGTGTTGCTATTGGGCACTTACTGTATGTGGTACGGTGCTTGAACTGACTCCCGTAACAGTTTATCGCCTTTAGTATTCCGTTTTACTAAGGGACTACTAACTAAGCCAAGTTTCAGAGCCCAAGATTTCATATTCTTTGCTCCTAGAGGGAAGACAGCCTAAAGCAAAGGATCTGCATTTAATATAGCCTTACCAGTGGCTTCCCTGGGCTTGGGAGATGGTGTTATCTAGTTTAGAGGATACAAGGCAGGTCACACCCAAAGGAGCAAGGAGTTAGGCAGGTAGACGTGTCAACGGGAGGAAAAAATAACAAAGATGTCTTCCCTGGGGAGGGCAGAGTTGGATGGTTGTACGGGGGGGGGGGGGGGGGGGGGGGGGGGGGGGGGGGGGGGGGGGGGGGGGGGGGGGGGGGGGGGGGGGGGGGGGGGGGGGGGGGGGGGGGGGTGTGCGGAAATGGCGCCAGAGATAAGAGAACTAAGGAAGAGGGGAAGAGGGAAAACCGACGCGGGCTGTAGAAAGGCGGAGCACGTGATGAACCGAAAGACGGTGCTAGAATCCTAGAATTCTTTTCACTTCTGCTTGGATGGCTGGCGATGCGAGAAAGCTCAGGTGTGAGACTTGGGTAACCTGGCAAATGGTGGGACATCTTCCTTCTTTCAGGGCTATGGGATCCAGTTTTACGGACCCAAAGACTATTATGAGGGTGAGTGGTGCAGCAACCAGCGCAGCGGGTGGGGACGCATGTACTACCGCAACGGCAACATCTACGAGGGCCAGTGGCTGAACGACAAGCCTGAAGGGGAGGGCATGTTGCGGCTGAGTGAGTGCCCCGCCCCGTGAAGCCACGCCCCAATGCCTCTTGGTCCCACCCCTTTCCGGAAAGATCCCATCCCAGACTCCCTGCCCCACCTGCCACGTCCCTGTAACACCAGCCTTGCGGGCCCGAAAAAAGTGAGATTCCAACTTCCAGTGAGCTCCAACTAGCTGAGGCCCTGGGTCAGGTGGAAGGCTTCGGCGGTCGGTCAGTCTGTCTTGTCCCTGTATGCCTTAGCAAAGTCTCCACTATGTGTAACTTGTATTCAGGGTCACTTGCTGAACAGAGCCAATGTTCTAGGCGTGTCATTTCTCATGGCCTGGGCTCTGGGCAAGCTTACGTGAATTCAGATCCCAGGGCTAGCGCTGCGGCCCCAGGCAATCTGCTTGCAGAGGGCCTGGGAGATGGCGCAGTGAGTAATGGCTCTTCCACACAGACCTGCCCACCTGAAGTTGATCCTGGGCTCACGAGGTGGGAGGAGAGAACTCACTGCCCGGAGTAAAAGTTTGTGATATCAGCAGCGCTGCTTCAACTTAAAGGCCAGCCTGTGCTAGCTAGGTGGCAATGCTGTCTCAGAAGATACAACTTCTGTAGCTTTCATCACAGGACTTAGGAGGCAGAGACAGGTGGAGCTCCAGATCCCCAGGGTGTAGAGCACTTGCCTAGCCTAGTCGTGCAGAGCAAAATGGAGAAAAAAAAAAAAAAAAAAAGCAACAACAAAACCATAAACTGGAACTAGAGCTACAGCCCAGAGACTAAGTGTGTGCATGCATGCTACAGCCCGAGTGTGTGCATGCACGCGCCATGTTCTGTCTCCAACACCAAAAAAAAATAAACCCTTTGAAGTGGTTGAGGTAAAATGCTATTTTTGCTGGTGTGGAGCTGGACGCTACACCTGCTGTCTAGTGCCTAGTGACTCTATGCTGGTGTGGGCTACTGTCTAGCGCCTAGTGACTCTCTATGCTGGGGTGGAGCTACTGTCTAGCGCCCAGTGACTCTCTATGGTGGGGTGGGCTACTGTCTAGTGCCTAGTGACCCTCTAACATACCCGTGTCAGCAGCTAAACGGGTGAGGCCCAGCCTGATAGCCCTGACTGCTGCCCTGTGCCCAGCACCCAGGCTTGTCTGTTCTCTCCATAGAGAATGGGAACCGATATGAAGGCAGCTGGGAGAGAGGCATGAAGAATGGGCATGGGCGTTTCTTTCACCTGGACCACGGGCAGTTGTTTGAAGGCTTCTGGGTGGATGATGTGGCCAAGTGTGGTACCATGATTGACTTCGGCCGTGATGAGGCCCCGGAGCCCACCCAGTTCCCCATTCCTAAGGTAGGTAAAGCTAGAGGATAGACACAGCATCTGCAGCCCCACGTGTCCAGGAACTATGGATGAGGTTTTGTTTTACTGGGTTTTGTTTGTTTGGGTTTTTTTTTTTGGTTGTTTTGTTTTTGTTTTTGAGATGTGGTTTTCTCTGTAGCTTTGGAGCCTGTCCTAGAACTTGCTCCATAGACCAGGCTGTCCTTGAACTCAGAGATCCACCTGACTCTGCCTCCCGAGTGCTGGGATTAAAGATTTTGTTTTCAAGCAGAGCATCTCCAGCAAGGCAGCCTGGGGCCTTCCATGCCCTTAAACCAACCAACCAATCCCCTCCCCCTGCTGCTCTCCAGGTAGAGATTCAAGACCCAGATGGTGTTCTGAAGGAAGCAATTGCTGCGCTGAAGAACTCGGAGGATGAAGAGGACTGACGTCTGGTAAGAAGACACATCTGCCATCTCTGATCTCAGAATCTGAGGCAGCTTTGCATCCCTGAACGCTGCTGATCTGGTATCACTGAGAGCAGACCAGAGAGGGAGAGCTTCTGCTCCTGTACCTTAGCTTTTCCTTCTACTCCCTTTTGAAGCTCATGTTCCTCGAAGAGCAAGTGCATTCCAGGCCTGCCCAGATCTCTCAGTTGCATTCTCAGCCTCCTGAGGTGAGCACTGAGCTGGTCAGGTGGTCCCATCTAAAGATCCTTAAATAAGGCTGTGGGCCCTAGGCCCGCACTGACACAACTGTTTCTGGGGCCTTGCCTGGAGTGGCTGTGAGGCTTCAGGGAGAGGTGTTGATGACAGCGGTTTTTGTTTTGTTTTAGATGATTGTGTTTCTAATACTAGTTCCAGCATCATCCCCACCTGTAGAGAGAGCACGTCAAGGCTCAGGAGAAACGCCAGCCCTTGTCACCAAACTGCTCAGACCGGTGCAGCTCCTGCAGAAGCAAGCAAGCGACTCTGGGCACGCCCTTGGCTCCCTCAGAGGGCACCCACTCCTCTAAGACACTAGGTTATTCTTTGCCAATGGAGGTGTGGTATTACTTCTCCCTGGCTGGCCTTGGGGACCCACTTGTTTAAATCCTTTGCCCTATGCCTTTTTATCAGAGGACATGAAAATAAAGAACCTGGTGGCCTTGCACCAAGGACCTATGGCTCGAGCAGGGGTGGGAGGAGTCAGAGAGGGAAGGGAGGCAGCCTCACCAACTGTGTGGTTCCCCCAACTGTGTGTCAGGAGGAGTTGAGGATTCGAGGCAGGGGAGCACGGAAGTGGCTTCAGTTCCATTGCATCGGAGCCAGCCACGAGCAGAGAGTGAGTTGCCCTCTCTGCCACAATGGCCACCAAGATTTGAGATTAAAGCAGGTCCCCACCTCCTTAGCCTATCACAGGAATCTCAAGGAAACTTTAAAAACCATGAGTATACAGGACAGCTGTTGCAGCCCGTGCCCTAACAACAGATATTTGGAAGCAGAGGCAGGTGGATCTCCTCCGAGTTTGAGGCCAGTCTGGGCTACACACTCAGTAGGGCAGTATCTTGAGATCTCACAGTAAAAAGACGGTGGTTTAAAACCACTGAGCAAGAATCCTTTCACCCAGCTCCTTGGGGACATTTGGTTATGCTTGGAGACACTCCTGAGTTGTCATGGTGACAGAGAGCCATGCTAATGGCATCTTAGGGCAATGATGTTGGGTTTTTTTTTTTGTTTGTTTGTTTGTTTTTTTTGAATTTTCGAGACAGGGTTTCTCTGTAGCTTTTGGTTCCTGTCCTGGAGCTAGCTCTTATAGCCCAGGCTGGCCTCGAACTCACAGAGATCCACCTGCCTCTGCCTCCCGAGTGCTGGGATTAAAGGTGTGTGCCACTACCGCCCAGCTAGGGCAGTGATGTTGTTAAACATGCTATACTTTTTTAAGTTTTAGTTTGTTTGTTTGTCTATTTGTTTTTCTGAGACAGGCTTTCTCTATGCAATAGCTCTGATGGTTCTGAAACTCACTATGTAGACCAGGCTGGCCTAGAACTCACAGAGATCTGCTTGCCTCTGCCTCCTGTATCACTATGCCCAGCTCAACATGCTACATTGTAAACAGATTACAAAGGAATAATTCAGCTCAATGTCTGTCCGTAAAGCAAATGTCCCAAACTCAGTGAGGCATGGTGGCTCACACCTATACTCGCAGCACTCTGGAGGTGGAGGGAAGAGAATCATTAAGGGTTTGACACCAGCCTGCTCACTAGTGAGTACAAGGATGGATCAACAAAACAGAAAAGCTCACACTGATATCAGGAGGCTTTCTCTGCCCCTAAATTCTAAGTGTGCTGACCTACTTCAGTGTGTGTGGTATTGACTGCATCTGACTCCAAGATCAAGGTATAACTCCATGCTAAGTGTGCTTACATTGTCCCAGACTGGGTGTGGACAGCTTCAGCTGCCTCTCCTGTGACTCCCTAACCTGTGAGGTGACCTACTGTTCTCTGCTGTTCTAGAGGAAACAGGTTTGTAAGTCTCCAAGCTAATACTGTGCCTAACCTAATTGTTTTGCTTTTTCAAGACAAGGTTTTAGCTCTGACTGTCCTGGAACTTACTCTGTAGACTGGCCTTCAACTCACAAAGATGTACCTCCCTCTGCCTCTCAAGTGCTGGGATTAAAGATGTGTGCCACCACTGCCTGCCCCTATATATTCTTTTGTGTGTTTGCCTGCATGTACCATGTCTGTGTACCATGTGCATGCCTGGTGCCCAAGAAGGTGTAACAAATGGTTGTGAGCTGCTACATGGGTGCAGGGAATCTAAACAGGGTCCCAGAGAGCAGCGAGTGCTCTTACCCACTAAGCCATCTCTCCAGCCTAGATCTCTACATTCACAGGTAGTGAAGTATATGGCTTCTTCCCAGGCATGATGGTGCAACCTTTAGTCCCAGCATTTGGGAGGCAAAGGCAGACAGATCTCTGTGACACCAGCCTGGTCTGTATACTGTATACCTCAAAAAGGGGTGGGGTTTGAGGATATACTTATCTATACAAAGCAATAAACTGGTAACAGTAGTTACTCCTAGAGACAACTGAGGACTTGGGAATAGGAGTGGAAAGTGACTTCTGTTTGACTTTTGAGACAGAGACAGGGTTTCTCTGTGTAACAGCCCTGTCTGTCCTGAAACTCACTTTGTAGACCAGGCTGGCCTTGAATTTAAGAAATCTGCCTAGGTGGGGTGGGGGGAGGTGGTGCATGCCTTTAATCCCAGCACTCAGGAGGCAGAGGCAGGCGGATCTCTGTGAGTTCGAGGCCAGCCTGGTTTACAAGAGCTAGTTCCAGGACAGGCTCCAAAGCTACAGAGAAACCCTGTCTCGAAAAACTAAAAAAAAAAAAAAAAAATCTGCCTGACTTTGCCTCACACGTGTTGGGATTAAAAGCGTGCACCACCAATGCCTGGTTTAAGAACAACTTTTTACTGTTGAATTTGGAAGCAAGTGAATAATCTACCATATCCAAAATGAAGCAGAGAGACTGTTTTTATTTAATCATCTACTTTGGTGCTGGGATAGAACACAAAGCCTGGTGTAGGCTGAGCGAATGCTCTACCATTGATCTACACCTCAGCTCCGAGACGGGGCTCGTAAGGAGTATTTACTCCAGGTGCCTGGGTACTTGTTAGAAACAGATTCCAGAGACCTACCCAGACCAGCGGCCAACCTGAATCAGCTTATGGTGGATGGCGATGTTCGGGGATCTACATTCTACAAGTCAGCCGGGTGATTCTGGATCCAGACACATTCAAGAAACAAAACTTTAGACTTCAGAGTCATTGCCCAGGAGTAATTCCAGCAGGATCCTGGGTCTCTAGAGAAGCAGGAAGGAGATTTAAGTGATAGCCAGGCTTCTCTGGGGAGCAGAGGTAGCACTTGGGACCCTCCCCAGTCGTACCTAGCATCTCAAGGATGGTCCTTGTGCAGTGATGCCGAGACGCAGGATGGTTGCGAAGTGATGGGAGCACGACAAATATTAGGCCCCTAAGCTACTTTATAGGGCCTGGGGATACAGCTCAGTGGTAGGATGCCTGCTTGTTATGCACGATGCCCTTCATTTGATTCTCAGCACCATTAGAAGGCAAACAAAACCACGTTATATATTGGAGCTTCCGGGCAGACACTTCTCAAACTCAGGGCCTGTGGGAGTCAGGTACGTAATGTCTTTAAATTTATGTTTATTGTGACCGTGTCTGCAAGTTCCATATGGCATGTGTGAGGTCAGGGGACAACTGGTGAGAACTGTCTCTCCCCTCCTGCCATGCGGGTTCTGGGATATGAACTCAGGTGACCAAACTCTGGGACAGCCCCTTTATCTGCTGAGCCATCGGACAGCCCAAGGGAAGTAATACTAGGTGGCCCAGTGTGAACCACAGGGAGTGGTGTAGCCCTGCAAGGCAGGCCCAGGGCCCCTGCACCTTCCCGTTCTTCAGGCAACGCCAGACCCTGCCTGGGTAAGATTCTTTCGAGGCCCTGAGCTCTGAGGCACCTTCCGGGTTTGAGTTCTGGCAAGTTATTGTGATAGATGCTTAATCTTCACTGTCAACTTGACTGGATTAGGAAAAGCCCAGGGGATTAGTAAAGCACCTTGGGGACTGTGCGAGCATTTCCAAAGACGATTAGCTCACAAGGTCTCTGACCTAATCAATGGCGGGGAGTCATGGCTCTCTGGCCAGCAGGCACGACAGCATTATTGGGAGGTGGTGAAGGATGGGAGGTGGCGCTCGACAGGAAGGCCACTGGATGTGAATCCCCGGGGACTGGATCTCGCTGTGGTCACTTCCTAGGTCCCCTTGTTTGACTCTTGGCTGCCATGACACAAACTAATGTCTCTGTCGTACCCTCTTCATCAACACGGACTGACATGTCCAAGACCGTTAGCTGACACCAGGCCTCTGAGTCGCCTTTTTTGTCCCTCCCTGGTCACGTGATGCAAAGGCCAGCTACATTAGCCTCCTTGAACATCAACTTTGTTTCATGCAGTGAAGATTAGCGTGCTGAGAACACTGAGGGTCCAATGAGCAGCACGCAGTACTTAAAACACCCCCACACATAACGGCTACAACTATCAAGAAGCTAAACTAACACGGCATTCTGTAAAACCAGAGCTCTGGGCACTTGAAAAAAAGTTAAAATCTGGGCTGGACAGATGGCTCAGTGATAAAAGCACCAGCTGCTCTCACAGAAGACCCATGTTTTGTCCCCAGCACCTACATGGTGGCTCACAACTGAAGTCCAGGTCTCAGGTGATGTGGCCCCCTCTTCTGCCCACCAAAGGCACCAGGCATGCATGTGGTACACATACATACATGCAAGCACTCACACATGAACATTAAAAAAATTTTTGTTTTGTTTTGCTTTTTGAGACAGGTTTCTCTGTGTAGCTTTGGAGCCTGTCCTGGGATGTCGCTCAGTCCCTAGAGAGCCTGTTTAGCATTCAGGAGGCTCTGGGTTTGTCTGTTCCCAGCTCTGCAAGCCACCTGGTATGGTGGTACACCTGTCATCCCAGAACATGGGAGACAGAGGAGTATCAGCTGTTCATAGCAAGTTCGTGGCGAGCCTGAGCTACATGAAGCCATCTTAATAAAACCCCCAAAGGTCCGGTCTGGAAAAGGCAGAAGCCAGGCAACTGTTCCACACTAAGGTAGACATTAAGCGACAACTCTAGTATACATGGGGTGGAGAAATGGACTGCTGTAAAGGGTGGTCCTAAACTTGAGTATCTGGAAGTGACTGCAGTGAACCCAAAATCCAATCTCCTGTATCTGTACCGAGGATTTAGACAAAGCAAAACACTCGCCTAACATAGAAGTCCTAGGTTTGACCGCATCCTGTTAAGTGGATGTGTGGTGCACAATACTGTTAATTCCAGCACCTGGACAGTGGATGTTCCTGAAAGACCACAAGTTCAAGGCCAGCCTTGGCTACTTAAAATCCTGTTCTCAAGTTTTGTTCATTTTGTTTTTTTTAATTTGATCAATGAGTTGTGGCTATGTAAAGAAATAGCTTTGTTTTTAGGTCATATTTAAGCTAATAAGAATAGCTGTGTATCTATGTGAGCATGCATCATATGTATGCTGGTGCCCAGTGAGGCCAGAAAAGGGGATCAGATCCCTTGAAGCTGAAGTTACAGGCAGTTGTGAGCTGTCCTATGTGGGTGCTGGAAGACTGAACTTTGGTTTTCTGGAAGAGCAGCAAGTACTTTTAACCACTGAGCCATCTCTCTGGCCTTGAGTCTTTTATTTTTTGTTGTTTTTTTAAGACAGTTTCTCTGTCTGGCCCTGGCTGTCATAGAACTTGCTCTGTAGACCAAGCTGGCCTCAAACTTAAGAGATTCCTCTGCCTCTTCCTCCAGAGCACTGGGATTAAAGGCATGCATCACCATCACCCAGGACTCTTAAAATTCTTCAATGTGTGTGTTTTTTGCCTTGCCTGCATGCCTATGAACACATGTGTGCCTAGTCCCCATAAAGGCCAGAAGAGGCTGTTGAATCTCCTGTTCGGAAGTTACAGATGGTTGTGAGTTACAACACGGATATCAGGCATCAAACCTGGGTCTTCTGGAAGCGCAGTCAAGTGCTGTTAAGATCCGCCTGCCTCTGCTCCCAAGTGCTGGGAGTAAAGGTGTGTGTTGTCACCACCACCCCGCAAAGGCGTCTTTTATCCAAGCAAAGTTACATGTCTTGGAGTATAGCTCAGTGGAAGAGTGCCGGGTCAAGTCCTGAGTTCCATGCCCAGCAACACAATTGTTGTAGAGGTTGGTGGTCCGAGGCCAAGGCTTTGGCCCCATGAAGCCAGTGTTCTGTCCCTGAGCCCCTTTCCTCAATTTTCAAAAAGATCAATTGACTAGGGCATTCTATCACACAGTCTAGACCCAAGAAACGCAGACACGAGGTGTCCCTTGTGTGTATATTTTATGTGACACGCCCACGAGCACGCGCGTGCACACACACACAAACACGCGCGTGCACACACACACAAACACGCGCACACACACACATTCACACGAACTGGGAAGGAGGCTGAGGAGGACAGGAAGCATCCGGGTGGCACTGGTGCGGGGGGGGGGGGGGGGGGGGGGCAATTGGACAAAGAGCATCTGTCCCACACCACCCCCACATCCTACCAGGAGGGGGACCCAGAGCTGGAAGAACAGGGAGTGCTTATTCTCACAGAAGAAAGTCTCAAAGTGCAGTGATTTTTTTTTAAAGCCTCTTTCCCTCCACACTCTGCTGCGAAGCCCAGCCGCCTGCAGAGGCTGTCCTCTAGATCCGGCCAGGACAAGGTCATGGGAAGGGCGTTAAGGCAAAAGCTTGAAAGTTCCCCAGGGCCAGTGGGAAGGCAAAGACTCAGGCGTAATGGGTGCCGGGTGTTAAAGAGTGGTCCCCTCTGTGGTCCAGCTGGTCCTGCAAGCGGGCAAACTCTGCTAGCTCGTTGAGCTCCTGGAACTGCCGGTCTGTCTTATGGCTGACCAGTGAGCGGTAGAAGTGAACGGCAAAGACGATGAAAACCAGGCCACAGGGGACCATGATGGCAGTGGAGGCTATGGCTGCCGCCTCCCCCGGGGTGATGCCACTGCTGTTGGCGACGGCTGCTGACTCGGGAGGGGGCTTGGTCGGGCTCGGTTGGCCTGAGTGTCTTTTGAGGGGTAAGAATTTGACCCAGCAGAGCAGCACCACCTCAGCCAGGAAGAGCAGCGTCCCGATGACAGTGGAGAAGGCCCAGGCCAGCTCGATGTGGCGGTGCATGCGCTCGTGCGGCGACTCTTTGACCGAGTTGAGGTTGTGGACGTTGCTCACAGCCTCAATGTTGGGGAGGATACAGGTGCTGATCATGAGTGCGAACAGATGCACGGCCACCAGCACCGTGGTACAGGCACTGAAGACAATGAGCAACCCCGGGGGATAGTCATGGTCTGTATCCAGCTGGACTTCTACCATCGCCACCTAGGGAGGGGAACAGGGAAGTGAGCAGCAGGCCAAATCCTAGTTCCCTTCCCACCAACCTGTCCCTTGGACTCTCAGATTCCGTTTCTGGGAATGATAGAGCCCTACCCACTCCAAGTAGCAAAAGCTACTGACGAGGACAGCAAGAATGAACCCATTAGCAGTGTGTCCTTAGGAAGTCAGTGTCTCTGAGCCTTACCATATAGAAAATAGAGCTATTTTAACAATTAAGAGAGTTGCTGGTGTACAAGAAACATCTTCCACATGGGAACGCTGCTGTTGTCAGTGTTGACCAGAGACAGGGAAGACAGTAAAGTATATTATGCATTCTGTAATTTTTTTGTTGTTTGTGTTTTTTCAACACAGAGTCTCTGTAGACCAGGCTGACCTCAAACTCAGAGATCCATTTGTCTCTGCCTTGGGGTGTATGTGGGGGGGAACACAGTTTTTTCCTTCTATCGTGGATCCTGGAAATCAAACAAAGCTTGATAATCTTGGTAGCTGGTACTTTTACCTGCGTAACTATCTCTCCAGATCAAGAAAACTTTAAAATACCTTAAAAATAAACTAAGCCAGTGCTGGAGAGATGACTCATCAATTAAGAGCAGTGGCTGGCTGCTCTTACCGAGGACCCGGGTTCGATTCCAACACCCACATGACAGCGCACAACTTTCTAAAACTCCAGTTTAGAGGATCTGACACCTTCACACCAATGCATATAAAATAAATTAAAAAAAAAATCACAGGATGGTGGTGACACACACCTTTAACCACAACACTCAGGAGGCAGAGGCAGGTGGATCTCTGTGAGGTCCAGGCCAGCCTGGTCTGCAGAGCCAGTTCCAGGGCAGCCAAGGCCACACAGAGTACCCTTGTCTTGAAAACAAACAAACAAACAAACAAAAACAAAACCTAAAAAAACCCAACAACTACCGTCCACTACTTCATCTGGCCCCACACTGTCATATTAAAACAGGACTCTATTTCATGTCCTGCTCGGGGGACAAGGAACAGGTTGGAAGCTAGAGAAGTGAAGGCCTTCTCACGTCACATCTAGGTCCGTTCTGAGAACAGAGTGCACAGGCCAACAAGGAACCAAGAGCAGCTTCTCAGAACAGACAGACTCAACCCTGTGCCTGTATCTTGTCTGGCTCAGCAGCCAGCAAGCCCCACGGCCATGTCCTTTAGCCCAAGGGCTCACACACCAGCTCCCCAAGTTCCTGGAGACTTGAGGATTTGGGGTTACCAGGGTCATACTCTGGGCCTGCCACCTGCTCTTTACACCTGGGTCTTGCAAACCACCGTCCTGCAAAGGAGCCAGTTCATCAGATGTGGGCGACTGGGTGCATTGCCAGGGTCTGCCCATGTGGGCTGGAGGGTCAAGGGCAGCAAAGAGACGGGGGAAAGGAAGGCTGGGGAATGTTAACTCGGTAGAGTGCCTGCTTCCCATGCACTCAGCCCCGTTAATCCCCAACACAGCTATACTACAGACTACAGACCAGGGGTGGTAGTTCATGCCTGGAATCTCAGCACTGGGAAAGTACAGGCAAGGCCAGACGCTCAAGGTCATCCCTGGCTACACAGCAACTTCACCAACACCCTGAGCTACGCGAGACCCCGTCTTTAATGAGAAAATAAAGCAAAATGATGGTAAATGCAGGTGGTGTGGACAAACCTTTAAAACCTGAGGGGCACAGTAAAAATAGGTTTTATTAGTACTCAGTTTAACCCCTTCATTCCTATCCCAGTCTACCTGCAATCCTGCAGGTCTCACCCTCCTGCTGGAGAGACAGGCTCAGCTCCAGAGAAGCAGGTCACTGGTGGACATGGCTCAAGTCAGAGCCATTCCAAGTATCCCTCTAAAGCTTCTGTCCAGACCCAAGCGTCTTTGTAAGATAGAAGGGGTAAGACCAAGATCAGAGCAAAGAGATAGCCCAGAGTCTGAGGAAAGGAGCGGATGCTGCAAACAGCCAGAACACTTCAACAGGATTTAAAGGTTTTGCCTAAGAATTGCCACGACTAGCAAGGACAAGGATGCTCCTGCCTGAGAATTTATAAAACGGTTCAAATTCATGTAAATTTGGGGCACTGCCATGAGGCATTTGACTGTTGTTTAAGATTCCTTGGTGGCCTAATGCCAACCCTGAGAATTATTCTGAGCCCATGCGGGCAAGGGAGCTGGGCAACTCAGTACATGCGGGTGAGGGGCATGGAAGAGCACAAGGCAAGGTACATCTTGAGGCTCTGACCCAGTCTCTACCCCTACCTGGAGGAGCCTGGTACCCTCAGCAGCCGTACCTCCGGCCACCTCCCCACCCCCACACTTCCTCTTCCTGTTTTGGCCTGCTGTTCCGGATACTGAAACCTGAGAAAGGACAGGCAGGAGAGGCTGGAGGAGCCGCCACAGATCCACTGGCTCCTGCCGGCTGGGGTGGAGGGAATGTGCAGAGCTGCCTTGTGGGGCTGGTGCTGGGGGTGTTTATGGTCAGTTTGTGTACTTTCCGGCATCCCAGCAACCTTCCCGTGGCATCCTGCCCCCCTCTGTGGAGCGTCTAGCACACAGACCCACAACACAAGGCTGAACGTGAAACCTGTGCCGCAGCTCACAAAGCTGGGGACCCTGGACAAGTAAGCGGTTACGGCTTCAGTACTCCAGGATTTACTTCCGTAAGATGGAGGCCTGCTTGTGACAGGGACGAAGCGCCACAGTGAGCACAAAATGCCCTTTAAACATTGCTTGACCTAGGATAAACTTTAGAGAGCATCAATGATTCTTACTAGTTACTAGCAAGAGTGTGCTAGTCTAGTGCGGGGAGGCCCTGGGTTCCATGCACAGTGCACAGACAGACAGACACACATTCACTACTCATTTTCCAACAAGGAAAGTGAGGCTCAGAGAAATGAGATCAATGCAGAAAGGCAGCTATGCTGTGCTAGGGTAGAGAAGGGGACGCAGGGCCACGCCAGGGCCTGTGTGTAATGAGGGTGCGCTTTTTCGCATGGTCACTGAGGTTAAATGAGGTTTTTATGTGTAAATGTTTAGCACAGAATTGGCCAAAGGAGAAGCTCAATAAATCTTAGTTAAAAAGAAAAACAAAGAGCTAGAAGTGGAAGAGAAAAAGGGTGGATTCCCCGGGCCTGCACGCTATTCCTCACTGGGGGCCTGGTATATCTCTTTCAGAGACAGCACAAGCTCCCAGTGTGGGTAGCAGAGAAGTGTACTCCACCCAAGTCCTGGTCAACTGACCATCCCTGCATGACAGCATCACCAGGGTCATAAAACCTGACCGAGGCACACACGGTCTAGGGCACAAAAGTCAGTGTCCTCACAGCCTTGGGCTGAGGGAAGGCTGAAGTCCCCATGGAAGAGGAAGGGCCTGCTGCTCCAGAAGGAACCTGGTCGCCCTCATCTATCATTCCTGGAAGTCCAGCCACACAGGCTGGCAGGATGCACACTGGCCACGTGTAGGACCAAGTTCAATGGCACAGGGCTACATACAAGAAGTGATTCTGAATGAGGAGTAAGAGGGGGCTGGCATAAATCATGAACCCCGTGAAAACTGTTCACAGGCCTAAGTCCTCTTCTGAAAGGATTCCCACGAGGAGTATGTCCTGCAGGGTTAGGGGAGTAAGTCAGGGGAGGCCTGGCAGGATCTGGCAGCTGACATCTGGGGGCCCCAGCAGCATCCAAGGAGATCACATCAGATCAGATTGCATGCAGCTTCACAAGGTAAATATAGCAGGGAGCAGGGCTGTTAACCCAAAATAAACAGCTCCTAGTCAGCCAGGGGCCTTCACAAACCCGGCCGTACAGGGTCTAACCGACAGAACGGTGACCACGGTGCCCAGCTCCCACCAGTCGACAGACCCTCACTGGAGAAACTGGGGATCCTAGCGCTGAAGCACAGGCTAACAATGACTGATCCTGGGGAGGGCAAGGCCCAGCTGACCCGGACAGCCACGTGCTCCCTCCCACCTGAATACCACCTCTTACCTTCTTGTTGGGCTCCATGGAGACCCTGCGCACCTGGCCACTCTGGTACTTTGGAGAGAGCCCCCCCCCCCACCTGCCTTGCCCAACCCCTCTACCCACAGTGGGCAACATGGCTTTCTTCTACCTAGTTCTTTCAGTTCACCCTATGGATAGCTGTAGCCTTTGGGAGACCCCCAGACCCCAGGCACATGAGCTTCACCAAGCTGCCTGCCTTTGCCAACTCCATTCCAAATGCAAGCCATCGATTGAGAGATCTGAATCCGGTCCCGTGGTTTATAAACTCTCTTGACCACAGCAGCCCAGCACTCTAATAAATGTTTCTAAAAATAGATATGCACTCTTTTATGAAACAGAAACAAAAGTTTCACTAAAAACCACTTACTCTTGAAGCCTGTCAATGCAATCCATTCTTACAAGCTTGGGCTCACTACTCCACCCCCCCCCCCCAGAGAATTCCAGAGATAACGCCTCCCATTCTGAAGGACAGACAATACTGTGGAAATCAAATACTGTTCCACAGCTACTGGGCAAACCCTCCTAAAAGCCTGGCATTCAATCTTCCTTAACCCAAGGGCAGGTGCAGAAGGGCCAGCACACCAGGGTCAAAGGGGTGGTGGTGTGTGCTGGACCCCCTAGCTGGCTCAAAAAAAAAATGAAGAAAGCCGGGCGGTGGTGGCCCACACCTTTAATCCCAGCACTCGGGAGGCAGAAGCAGGAGGAGTTCGAGGCCAGCCTGGTCTACAAAGCAAGTGCCAGGACAGGATCCAAAACTATAGAAACCTTGTTTCTAAAAACGAAACCCCCCCCATCTACTGAACTCATTTTTATTTATTATTTATTGGTTTTGTTTTGACCAGGGTTTTCTCTATCATGTAGATCTTCATGTCCTATAACCTGCTGTGTAATTAGGTTGGCCTCGAATTCCCAGACACCCGCCTGCTTTTGCTTCCCAAGTGTTGGGATTAAAGGCGTGCGCCACCACACCTGACTCTTGATGATGAGGCTG